AGTCCACTGTTCAAAAATATCCCTCAGTATGTTGAATGTTAAAATATTTTGCTCCGTTCTGTATTAGTAAGTCAAATATAAGTGTTCTTCTCCTTTAATTCTAATCTTGAGTTCCTTCTAGTTCCTTCTAGTGTCCAGCCTTCAAAGTCCTGTCCTATCATGTGTTTTTTTAAAGAATTTAAAACAAAGTAATTTCCTACAGGAAAGATTCTTATAATTAATTCCAAAATCTTATTTCAAATTTATTTGGATCCTTAGTTTGTTTATAACTTTCTAAAATCAAAGTTTTAAGCAGTCTTTTGATGTTTGTTCCAGAAAAAAAATTAAGTCCTTAAACTTGTATTTAAAACTTCTTTTGCTAAGCATTGAAGGAAACTCACCCAGTGCTGTAAAACATGTCAATTTGATGGTTCCTAATAGCTGAAGAGCAGTTAACAGGCAATCTCTGAAAGTGATTAAAAAAGGAAGAATGCAAACCTGGTGACTTGACCGTGGGTTGAGCAAGATGGCTATTCACTCATCTCCCAGAGCTCTAAACCTGCCAGAGACTGCTGTCTTGCAGTCTCCTCACGAGGAGCAGCTGTCTGGAGCACCTGTGGGCAATCTCACGTCCTCTCCTTGTCCGGAGAGGAATTACAAAGAGCCGGTCTGCTCAGCAGCTCTTCATTCTGCTGCAGGCGTCGGCTCTGCTTTTAGTGGAGCTGTTTTCAGTTCTCCGTTTCTTCCCTGGAAGTTGCCAATGGTCACTTTGCACACGTGCACATCAAAGTCCAAGCTATCTTGGGTCATTAATCTGTCATTTAGAAAAATAAGCACAAACATCTGCATTTGAACAATGCATTTTACAATGTATTCTAATATTACAGTGGTACTTTGGGTCACAAACTTAATTCGTTCCGTGACTCTGGTCGCAACCCGAATTGGTCGTCAACCGAACCAAATTTTCCCATAAGGTTCAATGTAAATACGGTTAATCCGTTCTGAACCATATGTATTTTTTTTAAAACCACAAAAATATGACACAAAGTACAGTACAGTGCAATACGAAGAGAGAGAACGCTAACCTTGCTCGAGGCGACTTCTGGCGTGGAGGACAGGAAGGTGGGGGGGGAGCGGGTTATTGCTTGGAGGGAGCCCCCCCCTCCCTACGGGAAGCCGCGACGACGTGTCACGGGAGGGAAAATGGCCGCGGATCCTGTTCGTCACCCGATGTGGAGTTCGTGAATGGAAGCAAAATTTTGCGAATGGTGCTGGTCGCGAACCGAATTGTTCATGAACAGAAGCGTTCGTGACCTGAGGTACCACTGTAATATATGATATGATATTATAATACTATACTATACTATTTATTGCTTTTTGGCGGGGGAAAATGTATTTTCTTTCAAAATATAACAAAGAGGATTGTGGCATCTGCCAGAACTCCCAGTGGCCGTGCTGGCTTGGAAACTGTGAGAGCTGATATCCATGCAGCTGAGGGCACTGAGGCTACAGATTACATTTATTAAAGTGCCACTACATTTTTAGTTGTTCTTGCTACAAAAGACTAATAAGATTACTATGCTCAAAGTTCATAATATGCACGTTGATATGATAGGAGCCATTAATCTTTCCAGAAAGGTGTAGAGTAGATCAACTCATAGCAGAACTTGCAAAAGTCATAGAAACTTTAATGAATTCGAGGAGACCTTGGCAGGTCATCTGGTTTGTCCCTCTGCTCTGTTAAGGAACAACAGGTGGGCCATCTGGTCCCTGTCTGAAACTCTCCAGTGAGAAGGCTACCCATGTTTTAGGCAGACTGTTCCACTGCTCAACTGTTCTTTTGGTTGGGAAATTCTCCCCGATATCCCCTTTAACTTCAATCTGTTGCTCCTTGTTCTGGTTTCAACAGAATGTAGGTCCTTCCTTCTCCTGCCTGCAACAGCCCTTTAGAGATGGATGGACCTCTATTACATCTGTCCATCTTCTCTTGGGTGAGCTGGGCGTGCCAAAGTATTTCATTTCTTCCTCATAGGGCTTGTTTTCCAGATCACATACCATCCTGGGACTCTCATCTGTACTTCCTTCAGCCTCTCCAGCACCCTTTTAAAGTTGGTGTTCAAGATTCCCAAGGGTGATCTAATCAGAACTGAGTACAGTGGAACTATTACTGTACTTGTGATTTGGATGAAATGCTTCTGTCAGTGCAGCCCAAAAGTTTGTTAGAACTTTTTAGCTGCTGTATCACGTAGCTTGCTTATATTCAGAGGGTGACTGTGGAGTATATTCTCACCAGCATTGCCACCAAGCCAGGTCTCCCCAGTCCTGAACTTGTGCAGCTGGTTTTTCCTACCCAGCTGCAGATCCTTCCCTCTGTCTCCATCTGAAAATAAAATTATTTAGATTAGATCTGCAGTTATAAAAGTTTTGAAAGCAGCTGGGGGGGGGTCATACCTATGCTGTGGTCAGAGAAGATATTTCCTTCTCTTTAGCTTCAGTGACTGCAGTAAAATTCTGCTCGCCTGTTGCTCTCGTCATGCCAGTTTTGCTGGTTTCAAGCAAGAAGAAGGTAGTCACTGAACAGCCACAATTAGCATTTTCATTTTGAATGGGATTATTGCTTGCCTCTTTGGCCAGGATGTGAAAAAGGTGGGCTCTGGGTAGGCAGTATGTGGTTCTCAGCCACCTTGGTGTGACCCCCACAAGAATCCTGGTCAGTCGTCCATCCCCCCCCATCCCCACTCAGCTTGTTGGAGGGAAGAATCATGTTGACCAAGTGGTCCACCAGGAGAAGTTGGGAGGAAAGAAGCTGGGGTTCATCCTCCTCTTTCTGGGAACTGCTGATTTCTCAGACCTCATAGCTACAGGAAAGAAGCTGTGTTGTCTCAGGCAAGAAGGGGAAAGAAGTATTGTTCCTTCCTTCCTTTCTTCCTTCCTTCATGCACTTTGCTACTTTTCCTTTCCCCACAAGACAGTACGCTCTTGATCTGAATCACTAGGAGGGTGGGCAGATGACAAGGAAATCACTTGGACCAGAATGTAGTTTTTTCCATTGGCAGTAGCAGTAGGATTCCAACAGTGCTAAGTACAGGGAGCCCGGATCACTGGCAGGAGAGAACAAGTTTTCCCATTTCTTCCTAGCAATTCCTTTGTAGAAGTTTGCTTGAAGGATGAGTACCTTCAGCAGTTCTGATTTCCCACAGTAGGACACGTCTGATGTGCATTAATGGCCTTGAGGTGTGTGGGTGCATGCATGCGCACAAAGCCAGGCTCTGGAATATGAGAAGCAACTGATGCAATTTTTTCCATGTTTGAAAACAGTATAGGATGTGGCTGTGAGCCATTCTTTTTTTTTTTATAATAACTGATTTTTTTTAAAAGAACAATAAAAATGAACCAAAACTAATATTAAGAATAAAAAATAAGAAAAAAAGAAAAAAAATTTAAAAAGAAAAAATAATAAAAAGCAAAAGTGCAGAAAAGAAAAGAAAAAACAACAAAGAATTTACTTCCGACCCACCCCACAGCAGATATAAGTAATAATAAGTCAAAATCTTGCTCTAAATTTACTACATAACTTCCATTATTTCTGTTATCCCATATTATTTCTAATCATCAAACCTATACAACATAATTTCATTTTTGCATATCCCACAAAAAGTCCCCCCTCCAAAAATCCAATTAACACTAAAATTACCCAATATCTTATCTCAAATCAAAACTACCAGTTTTGCCATCTCAGCCAACTCCATCAACCTCAGAAACCATTATTTCACTATAGATGATATCTTTTCTTTCTACCTCTATGCATTTAAAAACCTTGCTTAAAAATTGTAAATAATATCATATCCTTCCACTTTTATACACTTAAAAACCTTACTGTTGTCATATATAAGAACAAAAATTCCATAAATTTAATAACAAATATATCCTAACCTTAGTGAACTTTATACCAGAATCCTTAAAACATTGTCATTCAGTCCTGGCCATAAAGACAAATCCCATTAATAATTACCAAGGGCCTCAACATATATGTTAACCATATCACTTTATAAACTTTCTGTTTACTTTTAAAAAGCTTAAATTTTAGTCCTTTCTTATAAGGTCCTGCCAGTTGGTTCCCCATCATCTTGGTTTCTCCCAGAAGCTTCTCCAATATTTTCTCTTCAACTCTTCCTAGGAATGGCCTCACTGATGCAATACATTCCGTTTGCAAATTCGAAGTAAAACAGCTTTCCAGATCACTCTTCATTATTTGTATGTCCCCTTTAAACATTTTGACCTCATCTAGTTCTACCTGTGATTCCATTCTAACACCTTTTTCCATATCATCCTTTGGCCACCTCAAGTCCATATTTAAACCCACAACTTCTTTATTCATATCACCTTTGTAACCCAACATTTTTTTGAGCTCCAATTCCACGCCCGGGTCAGTCTCCACCTTTTTTCCATCTTACCCACTCTTTCCTACCTCCTTTTTTCAAGGGACATGAATCTAGTTCCTAGTTCATCAAACATTGACTTGAGTAGACTTAAAGGAGTTATTTTAGCTTTTAGCGGCTGCTCCGAGGGACCTCTTTTAGCCATTTCTTCTTCTTTCTTCTTTCCATTTAGACAAGCAAAATGTATTGCCAGATGTAGTTAATTGCAAGCGAAAATCAACTGCGGTTTGCGCCCGCTGGTGCCTTCCAAGCTGACATCGCAGGCGCGTGTGCTCAGCTTCAAAGGGAATCAAGTTACAGTCTAGCTTCTGTTTCTAAAGCCCCACCAATCAGCAGGCAGAATTGAACACAACATAAACTTTCCCATGTTGCTGCAAATCTTCCTGTTTCGCTATAAGTGAATTTTAAGTCTCTTTTAAATTCCACTTTTCCTCCAGGTTTTTGCGAATTAATCAGCTTAATTTAAATCTCTATTTCTTTATTTAAAAATATAGTCCCAAAAATAAGGATAAGCCCCAAGAGATTTACTTATTTGTTGTGAAGGAAAGTCTCTCTTGAGCTGAAAAATAATTACAAGCCAAAGTGTTTAAGAAATGAGAATTGGTCAGCTCAAGTGTCCATTCAGAGATGCCCCCCCCAGCCACTCGACTCAAGAGCCATTCGCAGAGGCTTCCGTCTCCGCGACTGGCTTTCAAGGAACATCCGTTTCCTCGCTTCCTCCTTTATCCGGAGCACGTTGGGTGGGCAGCGCTTGCTGCCAGCCACCAACCCAGCTGTGGTGTCATCTCTCCCTGTTGCAGAGCGGTGTCTAAGCCACCATGTTCCTACTGGAAGCCTCCGGCTCCGAGGCATTCTTTTGACTACGCAGAGGAGCTTTTAAGATCAGCCCTGTCCAGCTGGACGCCTCTCGCGAACAGCTGCACCTTCTGTGCTCCTCCAGCCAAAATGGTTTCCGCTCTGCTGACTGGATAGGACGAGCAAGAGCTGATGCCTGGTTCATGAAAAGTAGAGGCTTGGAAAGGCTGCTGGGTTGTTTTTGCGTAACGTGTTGGGACATTTTTCTTTGGTGACTGGCTGGCCTCCTTTTCCAGGTGTGCACCTTGACTAAAGAAGACAATCGTACCCCTGGGAAAATCCCTGAGGATGAGCAACTGCATGTTCTTCCCTTGTACAAAATGTCCACCACAGATGAGTTTGGCAGCGAGGAGAACCAGGCTGCAAAGGTGGGCAGTGGGGCCATCCAGGTGCTTACCTCCTTCCCCAGAGAGGTGAGAAAGCTTCCCGAACCAGCAAAGTCTTGCAGGCAGAGGCAGCTGGAAGCCCGGAAAGCAGCTGCTGAAAAAAAGAAAATGCAGAAAGAGAAACTGATTACACCTGAAAAAATCAAGCAGGACATCCTTGAGCTCCCAGCACTCCAGCAGAACACAGGTAAGAGCAGCAGAGGCTTTGTCATGGCCAGTCCTGGTAGCTGCAGAAAGGCTCAGTGAGCCAAGAAGAAGGCCTGGTCACAGGTCTGGTGGAGGTCAGACTGTCCAGGTGGACAAAGCAGTGCCCTGGTTCCAGAGCAGTCCCAGGCAAGGCATCTCAGGGGTCGTCCCAACACCTGAAATAGCTGAGCCAAGGCATCTGTCCTGGTAGCTCTTGCTTTCCGCACAAGCGTGGTTGGTGCTGCTCAGGTTGGTTTGGGTGACTGGCTTATTCTGGAGCAATAGCCTACTCCTGAGTAGACTGTCATTCCCATGGCAGCCTCCCCGGCCATTTGTTATTTCTTAGCTTCCTAGTGTTCCCGGTGGCTACGTTCCTGCTTCAGAGGACTGTAGGATGGGTCAGATGGAAAGTGATGCTGCTGCGAACTGGCCTCAGACTTTTCAGTCTGTTTCCACTCCTGCTGTATGGAGGAGGAGCAATCTAAGGGAGCCATGACACCCGGGTTTTTTTTAACCTTGATCCTGATTCAGTTAACATATGGAGGTGGTCTTCCCACCTTCTGCTTTCTAAATCTTCTTATCTGCTAAGGCATCTCTGTGCGCTTGTGTAGAAACATTGCCTCCTGCAAGGAATTCCAGAATGTCTTTCAGGTTCCTGTTAGAATCTCGCTGAGTTTTTGGACTATCACTGTGTAATTTGAGGACCTGCTCTAAAACAGGGTTTCTAAGAAGTTGCAGTCTAGATTGTCCTATGCGTTTCCATTCTGTCTCAGCCTCTGCAGGTTATACCAGGAGATTGGTGATGGCAAGCAAAGTAAAATGGCCTCCATTACTAACCTTATTCATTTGTTCCATGTTCGTTCTATTCTAATTCCTCCAAGTTCATGTCAGCTAAATGGTTATTAATCACTGGGAGTTTTTTTTTTTTAAGTATAACAATCTAGAAAAATAGTAAATGGTTAGATTGATTATTTCCTCACCCATTGTCTTGTTATAACAATTCTGTGAAATAGATTAGGTTGACAGATGGCTTCCTAGCTTCTGGGTAAGCTTGACTGCCGATTTGAACCACAGCCTCTCAAGGCTTCTGATAATTTACAAGGTGGTCCCAGAATCCTTCAGCCAGAAGTCCATGTATACGGAGTGAAAGCATGGCCCAGATCTTCAGTGCTTGTACTAAGGAAGCCAAGTGACTCTGCAAATTCACATCGGTTCCTTTTGTGCATCTGCAGATACAGCTTTGAAAAGTGGACTCTCCCAGCCATCAATCAAACCTTCCATCAAAGTGGAACCTCAGAGTCATTATAATACATTGAAGTACAATGGGAATGCAGTGGTGGAAAGCTATTCGGTGCTCGGGAATTGCAGACCCTCTGACCCATACAGCATGAACAGTGTTTACTCTTATCATTCATACTATGCACAGCCTAATCTGCCTTCCATGAATGGGTTGCATTCGAAGTTCTCTCTTCCATCTTTCGGGTATTACGGATTTTCTAGCAACCATATGTTCCACTCCCAGTTTTTGAATTACAGTGATAACAAGAATGCACCCTGGGTAAGCAGCAGCTATGAGAAGAAGCCTGACGTCCAAATCTTGCAAGATAATTTGAGCCATGCTTATAGGAATACTGAACTCCTGGATGAGATACCACCCACTGTACGGAGCAAAAATCACCACCAGCGCACCTACGAGAAAGCCAGCAGACATGCAGGTAAGACCCCAGCTGTGCCCCAGAGATGTCACTCAGTCCCTGCAGAAGCCTTGTCATTTGCACAAAACACAAACTGTTTCAACAACCGAACAATCAAGCAAGAACCAGTTGATTCCTTGACACACCCAGAGTCCCTTTCTAGATCACCTGCTGTCAATGGCCTAGCTCCAAATCTGAGCCCATCTGATTTGTCCAGGTTATCCCAGAATGGTGGTCCAGAGCAACAATGGAGCCCTTATAAAGTCAATAGAAATCAGTCCCAACCTGAGAGAACTAGTAATGCTGAAAGCTCGTGGAACATGTTTACGCCAAATGACAGTGGCAGCATGCTTAATGCAAGCACCCAGAACAAATCAAATTTGTTTGGTTCCCACTCAAATCTTAGCAGGTTATCACAGTCCCACCTTTTGGAGAAACAGTGGAATTTGTTTCCTGGGGAGGGGCAGAATCTGTCACCTAGCCCTGATGCGCTGGGGAAATCATGGAGCCCTTGCAAAGTCAATGAAAGCCCCTCATTGTTTTCTGCCAATTCAGACCTTCAGGAGAAACCCTGGGGTCTTGGGCAATTGAACTTCAGTTCCATCAAGGGAAGTTCCAGGCTTCAAGATGACCTTTGGCATTCTGGTAAAGTGGATGACAGGAGGACTCTGACATCAAATACAGGTTTACCGAGTAGATCATGGACTTCCTTTGCCTCATTGCCCTCTACAGCCTCAAGTGTTTGTGAGGAGAAGCCGCCATTTGCTTCCTTGAAAGAAGAAGGAAGCGCATCATTGCTGGGTGCTGAAAGACCCTGGGATTCCTTTAGTTTGGATGACAGCATGGAAGAGACACCTGAGAAGAACATCAAGGAGGAAGAGGAGGATGAAGAAGAGGAGGAGGTATGGTCAGACAGTGAACACAACTTTTTGGATGAAAACATTGGTGGGGTGGCAGTAGCTCCAGCCCATGGGTCCATCCTCATTGAGTGTGCAAGGCGCGAGCTGCATGCCACCACCCCATTGAAGAAACCGAACCGATGTCACCCCACACGCATCTCTCTGGTATTCTACCAGCACAAGAACTTGAACCAGCCCAATCATGGACTTGCCCTTTGGGAAGCAAAGATGAAACAGCTGGCAGAAAGAGCGAGGGCAAGGCAAGAGGAGGCAGCCAGGCTTGGGCTTCAACAGGATATCAAAAACCTTGGCAAAAAGCGGAAGTGGGGAGGCAGCTTGGCCCCTGAGCCCCAGCATAAGGAGAAGGAGGACTTGGTTCCAAAGAGGCAGGCCTTGGCCATTCCCACCAACTCGGCTGTCACTGTGTCCTCTTACGCTTATACCAAGGTAACAGGACCGTACAGCCGCTGGATATGAGAAGACGACAGCTCCCGGCGGCCACTTTACCTCAACGCTAGCAGCACTGGAAGGCAGTGCTGGTCTGTGGTGCTTTTTCCTTTGGAGAGAAACCGAATACCAGGCCAAGTGTGAAGTTTCCCTACCTTCACTTGGGAGTCGAGCTAAAGAAACTTATTGCTGTCAGCCTTTTTCAGTAATCTAGTATTTATATCTTTGCATTTTTAATCTGTACATCACAGTAATGGCAAAAGAAATTTATAGTGTCCTTTCACAAAGGACAGCTTTTTAATTCCACATCCAATACTTACGTATATTGGATTTTTAACTGCAATTATTACAACTCTGAAGCAGATTATGTGATTAAAAACAAAAAAGACAACTCCACCCCACACTAAACCAGGTACAAATTTGCACCTTCCATCATGTCGGGGCTGGTAAATATCTTCCCTCGGAGACCACCCAGAAACATGAACTTCCAATCCAATCAAGGGGACTTTCTGAGCAGGGTCCACCGGTTGGTGTGTGGTGGTTTCTTACTGATTCAGTAGGTCTCAGTGGCTGAGGAGGTACGTTAAGAAGGCATCTCAGATAAGCAACCCTTTCCTACTCAGTAGTTTGAACAGAGTTTAAAATGCCATCTAGAGTTTCTCTTTTTAATCCTAAGGAATCTTAAATCAGAAGGAAACCCCAGGAAAATAGGAGGACTGACTCTGGCGTTGCCTTCTCTGGTTCGGATCTTGGCAAAATGAGCTGGACCCTCCCTGGTCTCCTGCCAGATCCTGAACAGTAGCATAAACAGTGAAGTCTGAGCAGAAAAAAGGAAGGAAAACAGAGGATTATGAGATCTACCAGCAGACATGTTTTACTTTTGTAAATCTCAAGGCAAGTTTTATCTCTAACATCAGGTAAAAGAAAAGGATAGTCATTTACAATGTAGGCAGTAGTTTTAAAGTTCCATCTTAAATAACTTATTTTTTACTTTTGTAAATCTCAAGGCAAGTTTTATCTCTAACATCAGGTAAAAGAAAAGGATAGTCATTTACAATGTAGGCAGTAGTTTTAAAGTTCCATCTTAAATAACTTATTTGGTGAATCCAGTTTAATTTGGAGGGGAAAAAAGTCTTAAAAATGAAGTTCTCAAAGAGAAGTGGGGGAAAGGAGATGGAAGTGGAAAGTGAGAAACTTTCAGGGAAAGACAGCTTAGGTAAAATAGCCTTTGGTATCTTGATTTCTCTCTCTTCATTGTGTGAGATGAATGCAACTACAGACTAAGAACACAGATTTCTTTTTCCTTTTGTTCGAAGTGCAATTTATTGGCCTTTTAAGTTTGCAGTACTGTACAATATAACCAGTCATGCTAATTTCCTTGGGTAGGAAACAAGCTAGGCCAACATGTTTAGAATAGTAGTGATAACAAGCAATGCTAAAAGTAAAAATGGCAGCTTAAGCTACTGCATCTTTAAGAAACCACCTCACTAAGCCTTTAGTGTGCAAGTAGACAGCCTCTTTTTTTACCATCTCTGGTGCAGAGTCCGATTAAAAGGAGGAGTTTTCTATTGTATTTTCCATTGGTGCAGGCTTACCAAGTTAAAATATTTTCCCCTTGCAAATAGTCATTCTAAAAATATAAAAATGAAGACAACTTATTGCAAGTTTTATTTTATTTTGCCACTTTTGAGAGGAAAGGAGAAATAAATTTATGTGGCAACTAATTCATTACAGCACAGTGGTGCTTTGAAAATGTTGAATCCCAGTGTTTAAAAGTGATCTACCCTTCCTAGTCAGTCTTCTCTTCATAAGATGCCTGGTCCATGTAGGTGGCTGCAGATCTCTGGAGCTAGACATTCCCTGGGCTTAAAATAATGGCGGGGAGCATCCTTCCTAAATTAGGATGGAATTCACTTCAATCCGGTTTCATGATTTTGGTTAAACCACACCAAAAATAGCTTGGGGCATTTCGTTTGTTTTGTATCAGTTATTGATCGTAGTAGAATAGACCTGAATGACAGAAGTATAAAGGTTTTAATTGCCTGTCATGAGTAAGTGGATCTTTGTATGGTTTTTCTTCAAATCATTTGAATTTCACCCTTTACTGGGAGAGTTCTGAGCTAAAGGATAAAGTTCTGTCTGGATTTTAAATGCTCCCACTGAATCTGTGGGGAAAATCCCCATTGACTTCCATGGAAGTTGGAGATGGGAGCTCTCAGTCTGGAGGTGGCACCTTCAGAACATTTTCACACCCTCTCGTGGGTGCCATCTTCAGACTGGGCGGTGGCAACTCTTATGACAAATGTAAGAATCCTTTGCCACCTTTTACTACGGGTCTTTCTGTAGAAAAATGGAGATCTAACTCCTTCACCAGAGTAGATCCCCACTGGCTTTAATAGCCAACGTGAGTGGTTTCTCGGTGCAGAAGGCAGAAGAATCAAACCTGTTAAAGATCTGAACTGATTACAGATTACCAGTCACCTTCTGCACTTAACAGGTGCCTTTTGAGAAAAGATGGCTTGCAGATCCAACTCTGTACATAGCGTTTGTTTACTAGGAAACTTTCTCAGTCCTCGCGCCTGACAACAGGAGCACGGGATCACTGTAGAGCATCCTGCGTGTTTTATGTGGTTCTGATTTTAAACTGTAAATAGCAAAAGATTTTTTTAAAAAAAGCACTTTCACCAAGATTTAAAAGAGATACCCAATAACTTGAAGAGCAGTATGTTTTAAAACAGATTATTGCGGGAGAAATGTAAATAGAAACAAAATATTTAACAAGCTTTTCCGTCCTTAATTTTTTTTGTTTGTTTACTGTATTCTGTAAAGTTGCTTATATTTCGCAAGGAGAATCAGTGAATTATAATTGATTTTGTATGCATACCCGTGAACATATCATAGCTGTTAAGAATAATTCCAAGTCAGATTTATAGGAAATGTTCTGAGTGTCATAGGATTATATTGACGCCAGCCGCTAATTCTTCATGGTGTCAATCAGCCACGTTTCAGGGCATCTGCACTGAAGGCTCAATTATACCCAAAGCAAAATGTAGGTTAATCATTCTTCCTGAATTGTATCACTTTGGAGTACAGGTGCAGGGACTACGTTTTAAGAGCCGCTTCTTTTTAAATTAAAATGGTTTGTGGAGGGGAAAATATTGATGAGAGGTTGTTTTCAAGCGTGGGAAGTGGACTGCCCACTTGCAGTTGGAAATGGTTCAATCTAGGAGATCCAGCTTAACAATCAGGCCCTTTCTCAGTCACGAGAAATGATTTCTCTGCCTTGTTAGGCCAATTTCATGCCTGCCTGTTACTGACAGTTGTGAGATGGATCTCTTAGCCAAAAAGAGCAATCTCATCCCCAAAATATTTTTGTATGGTTCTTTTAAGCTTCTGTAATTTCCTTGGTTAGTGTCTCATTTGATAAATGTTGCTGGGGTGACTTGAAAGCTTCACTTAGATTATTTTAGAGAGCAAGAACTTGTAAAAGTATATGGAAAAGGAGGGACTCCAGTACACCTGACTTGTTGAAATCCCATTAGTTATTCAACTTTTGTCTGTGGAACTGTCCAGCCCTGAGATTATAATTTTCTGAGCTGGAAATGTTGCCCGTAGGATCGTCCACAAAAGGAAGGTTCCACATTCTGGGTCCAAGAACCAGGAGCTACCTGGGGGTCAAGAGGTGTTGACCTAGTAGTTCCCTATTTGGTCCAGATCAGTTTACACAAGACAAAAGAAGAAATACTAATGCAAAGGTTGGCTCCTCAATTTGTTTCATTTTCACTAATAATCCAAAAGGACCAAATTATGCTCTTCCTTCCAACTGGTGCAAGTCCAAAGCAAGTTAAACTGGAATCACTAGTTTTTACTGAAATAGCATATCTTAAGTTCTCATTCATTTCAACTAGACTGGCTGCTCTAAGAATATATTTTTAAAAATCTGGTCCTATGTCAGTATTAAATTTACAGAATGTGAATGCCACCAAAATTTGACACATTCATTATTTACTGCAGTTCAAAACCACAATGTAAACATGTACAAAAGATCTCAGAAAACAGAGTTACCATGGATTTGACACATTCATTATTTACTGCAGTTCAAAACCACAATGTAAACATGTACAAAAGATCTCAGAAAACAGAGTTACCATGGATTTGACACATTCATTATTTACTGCAGTTCAAAACCACAATGTAAACATGTACAAAAGATCTCAGAAAACAGAGTTACCATGGATTTCATTGTTGATCATACTTTTTCACATGCCTGATTTAACATAAAGATGTTTTAAGTGAAAACAAGACTGATCCCAGATAAATTTATGTTTTTAATACAAGTCAGCTGCAGTCTGAGGTTGCTTTCATGCTACATATATAACCTACCTCGTATCTCAGTTGTGAAAAAGAAATAGTTTGCTTCAGAATTACATATGAAAGATAGATCTATGCATGGGGTTCTCTCCTTTAGCTTTGTGGATGGAAATTAGAAATTCTTTTCATTGGCACTGTCAATTTTCTGCTGGTTTGTACAATTCGGAAAATTGTATGATGCAGAACTGTTTGTATTTAGAAGTGTATGGGTAAATGGTGCCCTAAGGGCTCAAAGATGTCCCAGCTATGTTAAAGCCAGTGGGGTGCTGCTGTGTGCTTCAAAAAAATTATACTACCCAGTCCTGAGATCTTAAGAGTAGTTTTTGGGGGTGTCCAACTCAACTCACAAAAAGATCATAGGTCTAATGATGCTACTAGTTTCTTACAGTAAGCTTGGTGAGTGCTGCCAGTTTGCACTTGTGACTGGATATCCCAAGACAGCATAATAAATAAAATAAAATAAAATAAAATCAAATCTTGAAATGTATTTGGGGAGGTGTAATGATGAGAAGAAGTTATCAAGTGCCACCAAGCTTAACCCCTGGTGCTATAAAGACAAAAAAATCCATAATCCCTGGAAAAATTCTTGACAAAAGTGTTGAGTTGTGCTGCATTTGAAGACTTGGCTAGTCCCATTGACTTCTCCGGGAGGAGATTGAGATTGTTTGGCTATAGGACAGTCTCTGCTTTGGGCACTTGAGTCTCTTCGTCAAATCAGGAGTTGTTCAAGCAGATCACATGAATTGTTGTTTATGCACAAAGTGTGGAAGGGTCAGGTGGCAGATGGGCACTTGACATAATTCCTTTGCCAGTTTCTCAATTTGACGAAAAGTGGCTGTTTGCCTGCAAACTTGTTATAAACTTTTTGTGGGTGTTTGTCTCCTTGGTGCTGCTCTGCTGTGATGAGTAAGCAGCCAGGAAGCTTCGAAACAAGACATCACAGTACATGCCTTTCTTGCCCAACACGCCCACCCCCCGCATGCAGGGATTCCATTACCCCCATCTGAGTGGGGAAGGCCGGGAGGGCTCGCCCTTGCCTAGGCTGGGAGAGCCCCACTCAACGAAAGGCAGAAGAGGAAGGACAAAAATATTCTGAGATAATGCAGCTGATGGTGCATAATGCCAGAATGTGCTTTGTAGGCTCATTCAAGGGCATATTTTTAATCAACTAAAATCTTGTAATGAAATGGTGCTACCTTGATGAGTTCTTAAAAAAACAAGTTGCTTTTTAGAGTGGGGAACAGATTCCATCTTGCTTAGGTGCTATTATCTAACCAGAGGTCTCTACAATTAACTGAAAATAGAAAGGTTGAACATTTTAAATATTTGTAGTTTCTAAAACTTCTGTTCTGGGTCTAAAGTATACAACTGCATAATCTGATTTCATTTTCATGTATGTAGATCCAGGACAGATTTCTCTGGTTTAAGTGACAGCTGTCCACTCCTAGGGCTAGATCTAAGGATCTGACACTTGAGATTTGTATTTTTACAAAATTACCATCTCTGGAAAGGGCTTTTGGGATCAAGCCACACATTGTTTGATACAAATGGGTAAATGAAAACCCATTTCTTTAAAATAAGGAAAATAAGGTACTGCA